CGCGTGGGTGCGTGAGGAGACGGGCAAGGCAGCCCGGTGCACCCCTCCCCTGGGCCTCTAGCAAGGCGGCCTCAGGCGCTGGATGTGGTCCAAGTTCTGCCCTAAGCCCTTCCCGCGCATTTGGGCGCCAGTGGTGAGCCAGATGGATGCTGTGGCCTTAGGTTCGGGCAGGTGTAGGGCCGCTTGCCCCAGATGTTACTGCGGTGGGTGAGCTGGGAAGCTCTTTCCGCCCTCGGGGCACAGGTAGTGGCTGAATCTTGGGGCAGCCAAGGGAGGCTTTAGGGGCCTTGGCTTGCTTGGGGAGCCCACTCACCTCCCCTTACCCTGGGGGATCGTCCTGGGTGCTCTCGGGGCCTTGCTGCCTCCCCCGGGAGCTCTGGTGTCCGGCACCGCTGTGGAACTGGGCCGGGCATTTGTCCGGAGGCCCCTCCTGGGCAGGAGCCTCCTTAGGGGCTCTGTCTTCAGCCCCTTCTCGTGGAGGGCTCTCCTCGTCATTCTCACTCCCGAATCCTGTAAGGAGAAAAGAAGAATCTGGGTACTGTTTCCTCTTCTCATCTCACTGACTTTCCACAAACTTGCCCCGTTTATGACTTCCAAATGGGGCAAGTTGGTGGAAAGTCTTTTGCAAGCGATTAAGTTGTGTATTTTTGACAGCAGGCAGAGGGTGAGGCAGGACCTTGTAGGAAACCTGTAAGACCTCAGTTTCTGATATTAGACAGTCCTGGGTTTGAATCCCAATTCCAACCATTACCTGTAGTGTAATCTTGGGCAAGCTAGATAACCGTAATGGCAGCCTCAGATGATTCTGTCAGTGTGGTTGGTACATCCACAGGCCATCAGGGATATGTTAAATTGGAAAATCAATATAAAACTTTACCTTTAAGAAAATTTTTGGCCAGACGCAGTGGCTCACACCTGTAATCCCAGCACTTTGGGAGGCCGAGGCGTGTGGGTCGCCTGAGGTCAAGAGTTCAAGACCAGCCTGACCAACATAGTGAAACCCCGTCTCTACTAAAAATATAAAAATTAGCTGGGTGCGGTGATGGGCGCCTGTAGTCCCGGCTACTCAGGAGGCTGATACAGAAGAATTTCTTGAACCCAGTAGGCAGAGGTTGCAGTGAGCCAAGATCATGCCACTGCACTCCAGCCTGGGCAACAGAGTGAGACTCTGTCTGAAGAAAAAAAAGAAAAACGTTTTTTAGCAGAGTACGATGGTTTAGCCTGTAATCCCAGCACTTTGGGAGGGAGGTCAAACAAAGCGGGATGATTGGGTTCAGGACCAGCCTGGGGCCAGGCATGCTGGCTCACGCCTGTAATCCCAGCACTTTGGGAGGCCAAGGTGGGCGGATCACTTGAGGTCAGGGGTTCGAGACCAGCCTGGCCAACATGGTGAAACCCTATCTCTACTAAAAATACAAAAATTAGCTGGGCATGGTGGTGCGGCACCTGTAATCCCAGCTACTTGGGATGCTGAGGCATGAGAATCGCTTGAGCCTGGGAGGCGGAGGTTGCAGAGAGCCAAGATCGCATCACTGCACTCCAGCCTGGGTGACAGAGCAAGAGTCTGTCTCAAAAACAAAACAAACAAACAAAACGAAAAAGCCTAGCCTGGGCAACATAGCGAGATTCCATCTTTACAAAATATTAAAAAATTAGCCCAGTATGATGGCATGTGCCTGTAGTCCCGGCTGCTGGGGGTGGGTGGCAAGGTGAGAGGATCACTTCAGCCTGAGAGGTCTGAGCTGCGGAGACCTTACGATCACGCTGCTGCACTCCAGCCTGGGCAACAAAATGAGACCCTGTCCTTTTTTTTTTTT